AGAGGGTTTTAGTCGAGAGGTTAGCAGGGAGAGTAGTTGGTGAGGCGAAAGGAAAAGGTAGCATGGGGAATAATGTCAAGATGGGAATGCATGGAAAAGGGAAAGTGGCATTGGTTTAATGTTGGTTTTGGAAAAGGGCGGTAACAGGTGTCGAAGCACAAGAGTGGGTAGCACCTGATTTGCAGTATACGGTATTGGAGAGGTCTTTAGCAAGCGATGCTGCAGCCGATGGTTAAAAGTCGATAGAGGAAATTTAAAGGAGTGTTTAGATGATGTGAAGAGGTCCGTGGAGTTGGTCTTGATTATTTCGGGAGGTCTCAGGCTGTGTGTCCCAAATAGGTTCTAGGATATGTGATAGAATCACTACCACCTTTGGAAATGGATTTGTCCAGTTAGGGTGTTAAACGGGTATTGTAATATTATATAATGGACCCTTGTTTTGCCGATTAAAGATAGATGGTCAGCAGCAGCGATGTGAAGAGGAGTATCATTGACTTAGATTAGTACCATTGGAGGATGGATTCGAGGGCAATTATGCTGTAGTTGGGATGGTGAAAGCAACGAAGGAGAGAGCATTGGTAGGAATAGGGTTTTGAGGGGTTATACGTAAGCCAGCTAAATTGGAAATCTATGCATATTGTGCATATATTTCGAAAGTGAAGGGAAAGAGAACGCGATTCGATTCTCCCATGTATTTCATAGTTATGTGGTTGGAATGGTCGAGTGACAAATGAGATGCCGTGGCATCCATTTGTCACGAGACCGTGACCCAGTTCATGATGACTGGTAAGTATGAGGTAATGGTGGCGGGTATTGTAGTGTAAGAAGTGGGTAGGAATGATGTATTGAATTGGAGAGGTTGGATATATAAGTATGAGGTCATGAGTAGTGGCTATTTAAGAGGAGAGGTGTGGGAAATTGTTCGTCTTTGCTGCTAGCTCGACGGAAGTCCAGCTTTGTCGTTAGTACCCGCCCACCCACCATCAGATGGGAGCTTCTGTGAGTTTGGTGGTCTTATGAAGGGTTAGATAGCTTGGGTGGACAACCCAAATATCGAAGGTAAGTGGCTGGTTGGCCTGGTCGAACAGGTTGGGTATTAATGATGCCTGACGAAACTATTTTGCGCTGACGAAATGGTTTCGTCAATGGTTTCGTCTGACGAAACCTGACGATA